TCCTGTCTCCTGCCTCTTGTTCCTTAGCTGCTAGCAGATGATTTCCCCCATAAGGACCTCACCTCCTGTTCCAAGGCTGCTTCCTTTCTTCAGGAGCTTTCTTCAGGAGCTTTTGCTGAGGGATCTTGCCAGATACCTTTGGGAAATCCAGATGGATGGTCTGAGTGGGCTCACCTTGCCCATACACCCCCAAACTCCTCCCACAAACTCCAAGTCTACTCTTGGTGTGCCTTGTTCCTTATCAACTGGGGGGTCCTGTTCCTTGTTAAACTCTTGGCCATGTAGGGACACAGTAACAGATCTGGCCATTTTCAGCAAATACTTCAAAAGTAGCTGAAGAGGAAGCAGGAATTCACCACAACTAAGCAAAATTAATGGATGCAAGAACTGCACAGCCAAGAAGGTCTCACTAACAACAGAAGTAACCAACCAACCTGGAAATACCCTGGTTCAAGGGGTTTAAAGCAAGGTCCATTTTGTTCCATCTCACTTGAAATATACTTTGCATCCAGGTCTGGAGTCCTCAGGACAAGAAAGACATAGATCTGTTGGAGTGAGTTCGGAGGAGGTCACCAAGGTGCTCCAAGGGCTGGAGCTCCTCTGCTCTGGGGCCAGGCTGGGAGAGCTGGGGGTGTCAGCCCAGAGAACAGAAGACTCTGGGGAGACCTTAGAGCCCCTTCCAGTGCCTAAAGGGGCTCCAAGAGAGCTGGAGAGGGACATGGGACAAGGTTCTGTAGGGACAGGACACAGGGAATGGCTTCCTACTGCCAGAGGGCAGGGCTAGATGGGATATTGGGAAGAAATTCTTCCCTGTGAGGGTGGTGAGGCCCCAACACAGGTTTCCCAGAGAAGCTGTGGCTGCTCCATCCCTGAAAGTGTTCCAGGCCAGGTTGGATGGGGAGGGTGTCCCTGCCTATGGCAGGGGGTGGAATGAGATGATCATTGAGGTCCCTTCCAAACCATCCTGTGATTCCATGCTTTGGTACACTGGCGTTGACTCTGCACCTCCCAGGGAGGTAGCCAGATGTGATTCCATGCTTTGGTACACTGGCATTGACTCTGCACCTCCCAGGGAGGCAGCCACACTGGCCTGGGAGAGACTCTGAGCTCCAAAACTACAGTGCAAACTTTCCATGCCCTGCAAACTTCCACCTGGGCAGGCAAATATCTGCTCCAAACTGATGGCTCTAATAAAAAACAAAGAGCAAAGGCCTCGAATCCCCCTATTTGTTTCCTTCACAGAGCTCCTGGTGCCAATAAAACTCTTGGTTAAGCTGTTTAGGTTAAGTTGTTTCATCCTCTTCTTCAGCACTTCTCCCAACGCCAGGTCCTGCCACATGCCTGAGGGGCTATTTTGATCCATTTTTCTCTTGTTTACAGAGATTAAATCCCTCTGATACATCCATTCGTCCACAGGCAAGAGCTGTTGTTTATAAAAGATAAAATTTGAAATCTCAACACATCTTGTTTTCAACTCATTTTCAATTTTCATTTAAGCTGTAAATGAGTTGTGGTTTTCCCTGAGGTTTCCCACTCATTCCACGCCCGCTGGACATATTACACATAACTGCTCTGCAACAAGACTTAGTGAAGAAAATCATGTTTTCTTGCAGGCAAATCCAGGCCCAGCTCAGAAGTGTCCCAGCTGGAATTACAGGGCAGAAATCTGACAGTTTGAGGGAACTAAGGTGCAGAGAAGTTCATTTTCTCCATGTTATTTTTACTTCTGTCTCTCTCTGGAAGTGAAACCATTGTAAGGTTAGTTTCTCCAGGGAAAGGAAAGGTTGGAAAAGAAAGGTGACACTGAGATGTTTGGCAGAGAGAGCTGCAAGAAGGGGTTTTGAATTATTAAACAGAGTGGGCAAAAATAGCCAAAAGATGAGGAGCTGAGCAGAGGGAGCAACAGACTGAGAGTGTCTGCTCTGTTCCGGGTCACAGAGGGTGTGTTTTTTGTCCACCCCTATTCAGACTGTTCTTCTCTGTGAAGATCTTTATTTCCCTCAAGGTTCAGGGAACTCTGCTAGATCAGGCACTCACAGGACCTGCTAGAACTGAACACCTGGATGAATTTCCCCAGGAGCAGGTTTAATACAGGATGTGCTCAGCCAGCAGGACCAGCAGGCAGGTGGGTCCTGCTCCATGAGGATGGAGCTGGGGGGTTTACAGCACCTGAGTGTAAGGAGGGATGAGCAGACAGCTGCTCCTGTGAAGAGAGGCTGATTATTTTACAAACCTGAGCCCTGTCAGCCCCTGCTAAGCAATATGCAGGGAGAGATCTGGATGAACCACAACGATGCTCATTGCTGTTTGGCCAACAACTGTGTGTTCAAGCAGCATAAAATACAAATACATCCTCTGTCTGACAGAGCTTGCAGCACATCACTCCTCACAGCTCACCTCCCATCTATCACTTGCTTTCTTCAGCATTTAGCTTTGATAAGAAATAATTACCCAGCAGAATTCCAGCTCAGTGTGCCTTTGCTCCATGAAACAGCTCCTGCCCGTGAGGGAATCTGTGCCCTGAACTGCAGATATGACTGAATGATAATTAAGCACTGGAATTGCTACCAGAAAACCTGACCTGTTTGGCTGTAACCACAGCAGACACAGAAACACAGTCAGCCCTGGCAGGCTTCTTTCTCTTCATTTTTCTTCTCCTTTATAAACCAGACCTTTCAACACCCACATACTTTACAAGCAAATCCCATACCTGTGGTGACACAAAGATCTCCATCCATCTCCAGAGCCTCCAGTCTCAAAGGCTTGGCTGGAGCTGCCTAGACAGCTTCACCTTTTAAAAAACAGACATAAATTGAATAAAACTGAAATAAAACACATCAGGTTCTACCATCAAACCCTCCCTGGCTCTGCAGGAGCTCAGCAGTGCTCCCGAACACCTCAGCACCAGCACCCAGCTGATCAGAGCTCCTGCTCACTCCGTGGCTGTTCTGCTCAGCAAAGCAGAATAAACCCGGCAGGGATGGAGCCAGGAGCATCCCTGTGTCACCCTGCCCTCACATCCCCAGTCTCCAGCTCCTTCCCAGCACCCTCTCCCCCCGCTGCGGCAGGACAGTTGCAGGAGGTGATGTGGGAGGCAGTGCTGGAGGTGGTGGGTGTTGGGGCTGTGGGGGGAGTGACTGCTCATTTACCCTCGTCCTAATTAGAGCCAACACCTCATTTCACAGCCACAGGTAACAGAACCACATTCTCAGCTGCAGAGCTGAAAATAGGCAGAGCACAGGCTGCAGAGGCAAATTCCCAAATCCCACACTGCAGCCACTTCTGTTCTTCAGGGACCTACAGGACATGGGGGGAGGAACACGAGGTGGGGCTGCAGAAGGCTCCAGCCCACCTCACCCCAACCATCCTGCATTTTTTAGCACTTTCTACTCAGCTCCTTGACACAGGATCATGCAAGGCAGGGCACACCCTGCTGCAAGAGCCCACGAGTGGGTTAGCACCCACACTGATGTGTCCT